TGCTGCACGGCGAGACTCAAATAGGGCCGTACGGTACCGAAGTGAACAAAACGTGCACCGCGGGGATGCGGAAGCTGGTGGGGCCGCGGATGCCCTTGCCCAACACTCTCGTCCTCGAGCAAACTGCTACGGACTTGAGCCAAAATGGCTACGGACTCCTCCTCCTCCTCCTCCTCCCTCCTCCTCCTCCTCCTCCTCCTCCTCTCCTCCTCCTCCTCCTCCCTCCTCCTCCTCCTCCTCCACCTCCTCCTCCCTCCGTAGCCATTTTGGCTCAAGACTTATGCTTTGGCGGGCTGAGCCCGCATGGGCAAAAACGGATACCGCTAGTCCGCGGCAGCTAACTGTGTGTACGGAGGTCCCTCGGTCGAGGGGTTCGCGAGCCTCCAACCCGACGCCCCAGCCGACGCAGCCATGGCCCCTCCGCCTGAGAAGCAGGATTGGCTTTGTCGCTTTTGTGTGCAGCGCTCTGGTGAACCTTGGGTCAATCCAGGGTACAAGATGTACTGTGCTGGGCGCGTCAAAGACGGATGTGGAGGGATGCGCAAGGGAGCGTGTTTCCTTCGCAATGTGGAGCCCAAGGTCCCGTCGGCACGTAAGCCCAAGCCCGAGCGTTTCCCTCCATGGGCGACGGCATCGGACACGGCCAAGTTGCTCGCTCGGCTGCAGGCGGAGGTCGCCGAGCTCCGCAAGCAGAACGCCCAGAAGCCTCCCAGTGGTGTGCAGCCTGAGGTGCAGCTCGCTGAGCAGGGCAAGTCGGAGGATGACGAGGACGCTAAGATCATGTTGCAGGGGGCGGCTCAAGAGGGCATCCATGCGGCTTGCGTCGGCGTGCCAGGCATGGAGCAGGTGGCTGCCGATGCGCTGGCGGCCAAGGGCGCGTTGCTGGAGAAGCGGCGCTCCAAGCAGCCGCTGTGTGCGCAGATTCGGCAGTTGTCCACGAAGCTGCAGAATGAGACGTCTAAGTTGCAGAAGTTGGAGAAGGTTGCGTCTGCTAAGGCTGCTGAGCTCTCGCAGTTACAGAAGGACGCGGCAGAAGCTGAGCCTAAAGCAGCAGCCCAGAGGGTTGTCATCGTGGAGCTCGAGGGCCAGCTGCAGCAGTTGGGCAATTCTGCTCCACAGCCTCCTGATGGTGCTAAGCCTGCTGCTGGCGGGCAGATCGACACGTCGGTGCTGGACGCGTTGCTGGCAGCGGCTGGCGTCCACGGAGAGTTGCTCGTCGCGGTCAAGGCCAACCCGCTGGTGGACAAGCTGGTGGTACCTGTCCAGGCGTCTGATGGGGGCGGGGGGTCCACTGGTTCTGATGGCGAGCCGTCCCAGAAGAGGCCGAAGCTCACGGAGCCTGACTTCGACGAGATGGAAGAGGACAAGTTGCGGGAAGGTCTCTCGGCAGTCGGCTTCGTCGGAGAGCTACCGTCAGAGGTTGAAGAGTTGCGGGCGATGGCCAAGAAAGCCTTCAGTGGCGCGACGGCCTGGAGCCCGTATTAATGGCTGGATGATCATGCTTGTGCTACGATGTTTATTGTCGTTCGCCATGATGATGTCTGGTACTTTCTCAAGTTCTTCTCTGCCTACTACCTCGACCTCGGGGGGTTCGGCATGCAGCGCTGGGAGTTCGGGGGCGACTGGTTCCTCGGCGTCGAGCGGTGCACTCACTGGGCCTGCTGTGCAGCAGGATCAGCAGAGGTCGCCACATGTGCTACCTCCTCGTGGCGAGACATGGTCGACATGCGTCTCGTCTACTTCGATTGCAGACGCCAGCGGCTGTATGCACTGCTCACCACCCACGCCCTCTGTGGAATCGGGTGGCAGAGGGTACCAGCAGCCGCGGGCGATTCCCTCGTCCCCTGTGGAGCTCGTAGCAGTTTCGAAAAACGTGTCAGGACAGCCGCCTGCGCAACTTTTACATACAAGTGTGCGCGGTGGCGATGAGAGGGCGGTCAAGGGCCTCATCACGACGGTGAACGTTTCGAGTGGCGGCCCTCTCATCAAGTTTTTAGCAGCTGGCCCGCCCAGCTCCATTATCGCGGTGCAGGAGCATCATGGTATCTTGTCTCGGCTGGGTTCGTTGCAAAATCAGGCGAAGGATCTCGGCTATCATGGGGTGTGGAGTGCTGCGGTGCCGTCAGATGGTGGTGGAACCTCTGGTGGCGTGGCTATCCTCACCAAGACGCACATCTCGGTCACGGCGGCGCCCTACTTCGACCAGGACACTGCGCCTGGGAGGCTTTGTGCTGCTCGTGTTCATTGGGGAGTGCGCAATGGCATCGTAGTTGTCTCAGCCTGTTTTCACGATTCGGTCGGACTCAATGACGAGAACGCGTTCATTCAGGCCCACTTGCAACACTACTTGCAGTTGCTTTCGGCTTTAAAGCCTGATTGGGTCTGCGTTGGTGACTTCAACATGAGCTCGGATGTGCCGATGACAGGTTGGAGCGGTTGGAGCCAAGGGTTCCCAGGAGTCCACTGTGTGCCGCGTGAGAGTACTTGCGTAAAAGGTCAAGGTAGCATCATCGACTTTGGCATTGTGCAGCAATTTGGCTTTGCGTGTGGACCCGCCTTGGGTTGACCAGGAGTCCGAGCTGTGCCCACATCACCCTGTTCACTTTCCCTTGGCTGTGAAAGATGTTGAGGCGTGGGCTCGCCTGCCCGTGGAGCCTCGTGGCTGGGGGTCCGAGGCTCCGATTGGCTGTGCTTTCTTCCCGCGAACTCGTGAATGGGAACGTGCATTACATTGTGTTCTGACAGTTGAGGGCCAGGTGGGCCTACAGCGCACTTGGGGCCAGGTGTTGCATGGTATTGAATGTGAGATTTCTGATCGATGGGGACACAGACATTTGGATCGTTCGTCGCATGGAGGCCGCGGGGGTGACGTTGCCTTTCGCATGGTGAAGCTAGAGTGGAAGCCCCCCTCGGCGGAGAGTGTACCAGACCCCGCAGGTGGCGGCGCTGCAGGTGGCGGCACGCTGGCTCAGGCATGGTCGCTCTACGTGGCAGCAGGTCTGTGAGCTTGGGCAGAGGCTGATGGCGGCCAACGTGTTGTGCTCGGTCACTATTGGTCAGACTTCTTGTTTAGTTGGGCTGCTGTGCGAGCTGAATCAGTTCTACTTGAAGATTGGTCGGGCGTCGGAGACGCTTGGCAAGCTGGATGTGGACCCGGCACAGTTCTTGGCTCGTGGCATTGCTGTCTGGACAGACCCTGGGGCTGGACACACGGTACAAAGCTGCCTGGATCGTGCTGAGGACGCTAGGAAGAAGTTCGAGCGTGCGCAAGGGGCCAGTTGGCGTCAGTGGGCTCGTGATGCGTTAAGTGGAGGTGCTTCAATGGCGCATCGTTTTACCCGTGTTCATCCTTTGCAGGAGGTGCTGGACCAGACCACTCGGGCCAGCCCCCATCAACTAGTGCAGCGAGAGATGGATAAGTGGCAGAAGATCTGGACTGTGCATGGCCTGACGCAGTGTTCTCGGTCCTCCGACTTCGACGACTGGGACCGCCTGCCCGAGATGTCCGTGGCCATGCTGCGGCTGGTCTGCCTGAAGTTCAAGGCGAAGGTTGCAGTGGGTCAGTCGGGGATTGCTCCTCGAGCGTTGTGGCACCTCTCGGATGCAGGCTTCATCGTGCTGTCAAAGTTGTTTCAACGGTGCGAGATGTTGGGCTTCTGGCCAGACAATCGCATATTCACCACGCTGGTCAGGCTGCCGAAGGAAGGAGGCGGGTCTCGTCTCATTGCCTTGGTCCAGACGCTGCTTCGCGTTTGGGCTAAGGCCCGCAGCTTCATCAGTCGGCAGTGGGTTGCTCAGGCAGACCTTCGTGATGTTTGGGGAGCTGGAGGCGTTGGTCGCACTTCGTCGGCGGCGGCGCTCGAGCATAACCTGATGGTGGAGGTCGCGTCGCTGCTCGGCTGGCACACGGCGACGGCGGCGGTGGACGCGTGGAAGGCCTACGAGTCCGTCATCCCTGGCGAGCTGATCTGTGAAGCCCGCCACCATGGTTTTCCTCTTCGGCTGGCCTGGATGGTGATCGAATACCATCGCCAGCCGAGGGTACTGAAGGCCTTCACCTCCTATTCAGAGGCCTTTGTATCCTGGCAGGGCATGCTTGCAGGCTGTGCCCACTCCACCTCCCTCCTTACTCTCCTCACCCTGCGCTCTGTGCGGCGTGTCCGAGCGAGTGGCGTCGTGCCTCGTGCTTTGGTCGATGACCTCACGATTCAGTGGGTTGGGGAGGAGGCGGGTGGGATCTCTAAACTTTTTACCTGCGCTGGCCAACTTCAAAGCTGATGTTAAACCTCTCGGGATCGTTCTCCAGGACTCGGCCTCGGGGAAGTCTGGCTACGTGGTGGCCAATCGTAAGGTCCTGCGGGCCTCGAAACCCTGGGCCCGAGCGGTTCGGCTGGAAGCCAAGCGTAACATGCGTAACCTCGGTCATGAGCTCTCTGGGCGTGAGCGCAGGCGGCCGCTCACCCGACAGAGAATCTCTAAGCTAGGTCGTCGGATGAAGCGTGTTTACCCTCTGCAGAAGGTGGCGGGGACTCGTGTGTCCGTCCTGTGGCGCACTGGCCTGCTTCCAGGTGCTAGTCATTGCAGTGCAGTTTCTGGGGCCACGGACGCCGAACTTCGGAAGTTGAGAGCTGCTGCGGGGGCTTTGGTTGGTGCCAAGGGTCGTGGGGGGCCCCTGACGGTCTACTTGGCGTCTCAGTCGGATCCGTGGTGTGACCTGATTTTTGAAGCCACGATTGCTCCAGTCAAACACTACGCCCAGGTTGTTTGGATGCAGACTGTGTCCCTGGGTACTCTCGAGAGGGCCTGGAAGGCCCTGGCCGAAAAGCGGGGTCATAAATTCTCCTGGCTCCATGCCTCGGGCCCGCTTTCGGTGGTGGCTTTGTCTCTCCTTCGCGTTGACTGGTGCATGGAGTCGTCTGTGCTTATCCGTTCCGATCAGGGAATGGTGTACTCTTTGCTTCAGATTGATCCGCAGCATTTAATCAAGTTGCTACGTGCTGGCATCCAGCGCTGGCAGATGCGTCGCATCCAGGCTCATTTTCCTGGCTTTCCCGTGGACGCCGAGTTGTGGCCCCGTGGGATCCGCGCCTGTGCTGGGTCCAAGTGGGCCGCGCTCAAAAGCCCCAGGTCGGCTGGAATCCTTCGGCCCCTCTGGTCTGACTCCTGGTGGCCCCAGGCCAAGTTGCATGATAAAGGGCTCGCCCCCGATCCTAGGTGTAGGGGCTGCGGAGCGGACAGAGAGACGTGTGGTCACCTGTTGCTCGAATGCTTTGTGCTGCGTGAGCAGCTGTTGGAATTTGAAGAAGAAGTTCCGATTTCTGAGTCCCTGACCAAAACTCGTGATAGGTTTCTGGAACAGGGGCCAGTTGGGCGCCGCGGTGCCGCTCTGGACCCCGAGAGTTTTGAGTTGTCGGTTGGGTTCCCGTTGCTCCCGATGAAACCTCCTGACCCTCCGCGTGACCCGCCGATTTTCTGGTGGGGGGATTGGGAATCTGATCCCTCGCAGTGGTCCAATGCTGCGTTCACGGACGGGTCGGGCATGTGGTCGTCTCAACCAGAGATCAGGGCGTGCGGCTGGGGCGTTGTCCAGCTGAGCGCGTCGGGCACGCCGCTAAGAGCGTGCTGTGGCAGGCTCGGAGGCGCCAGTCAGACGGTTGGCGAAGCCGAGCGGGTGGCCTATTTGCGGGCGGTGGAAAAAATCCCGTCGCTGCAGGTCGTCGTCACTGATCTTTTGGGCCTGGCCAGTGAAGCTCAGGAGTGGAGTGCGGAGTCTGAAGGTCCAGGGGCTGCGCATGCTGCTGTGTGGCGGCAGATTCGTGCGGCGGTCGTGCGTCGCGGAGGGGTCCCGCCCACCACTCACTGGTGTCCTGCCCATAGGGGCCTGTCGGAGGCGGCCCTGGCGACCCCTGGATCTGGCCCGCCGTTTTTGCATGTTCTGGGAAATGCCTGGGCTGATTTCTTCGCCAAGGCTGGTGCTGCCAGCCAGATGGTTGGGCAGGGCACGGCTGATCTGTTTCGAATAGCGCTCAAGGAGTGCCAGGAGTTCGCCAAATATCTGGCTTGGGCTGGGGGTCGGGCCATTGATCTGGGGCTTGGGGCGTCGTTGTCGTCGGAGGGGGCTGCTCGTTCTCGTCCGAGGCCTGGCCCCCGCCCGACCCCTGTTGAAATTTTAGAGCCTGGTGAGCCCCTCTTGTGCCACAGCGTGTACAGGAGCGACGCCGCCCAGGAGTGGAGATGCAGGCGGTGTGGTGTCTCTACCAGGACTGCGGCTGGTCTCCGCGCCCTCAGGTCCTGCTCGGCGCGCTGCACGCCGACCGAGGTGCAGCGCTGGCAGGCCGCCCGTGCTTTTGCGCGCCGCTCCGATTGGAGGCCGACCTCCGATGCGGTCCTCGTCGCCTTGGAGGCGGCGGCAAGGGTCCTTGAGACGTGCCCCACGGAGGCGCCGAGCTTTGGGGCGAGCTCTGGGGGGCGGCGCTTTGTCGATTTGCCCCTTTTCCGCGACCTCGGCCATCGGATGGCCGAGGCGGGTGTGTACGTATTCTGTGTGCGGCGCGCGTGCTTCGCTGGGGAGTCGGGGAGGGTGCTTGGTCTCAAGGCCCCTTGTCAGGGACCTTCGGAGGTCCCCAAGACTCTCAGCGCTCAGAAGACCCGCCTCGAGAGGTTGAGGTGTGGGCTGCCGCCTAGATAGCGGCTGAGGGTCCTGGGTCCTGGCTGAAACCGATATGGGGCCCTCGAGTTTTGGATTTTTATTCGATGTAGAGTGGGTTCGGGCGACTTGGACTCACCTTCTACTGGCGTCCTCCTCCCCCCCCCCCCCCTCGCCCGCCGCCTTCGCCGCTCCAGGAGGCGGCGCCCGAGGCCCCCGAGGGCGGGGCGGGGCCGGCCGAGCAGCAGCCGGCCGCGGCGGCGGAGGAGCCCTCGGAGGCCCAGTCGTTGCCGCCGACGTCGTCCACGGCGTCGTCGCTGCCGCCGACGTCGCCGCCGCCAAGTCGTCGACGCCGTTGGCGTCGTCCTGGGCGTCGTCGACGGCGTCGTCGTACGGCGGACGGTTTGAAGTTCTAGACGTAAGTGGGGCGTGCCCCTCTCAAGGAGGAGTACGCAAGAATAGGAACAATAATTCGTACGGGGACTTCTCTTCGTGCTCTTTTTGGCTATTTTTGATTTGTTTGGCTATTTTTCATTTTTCTTCCAAAATCCGCCTGTAGGAGGTAGGAGGTCAGGCCAGACCTAAGTCTAGGTTCCAGGGGCCCGGGGCCCTGGGCCCTCGCGGGGATGCGGCGCTGGACCCAGGGAAGGAGAAGTTCTCTAGGCCTCCCAGATGGGGTCGGAGTAGATGGGGTCGGAGGATCGCGCCATATCGCCGATGCGTCGCCGATGCGGCTCGATGTGGGGCCCGATTTGCTTCGCGTTGACGTCACCGACACATCGCCGACGTCGCCAATGCATTGCCGATGCATCGGCGATACATCCGCGATGCAGAGCAATCCGCCGACCCCACCTACTCGGACCCCATCTAGGAGGCCTCTACGAACCCAGGGAAGGAGACGTGCAGACCTCTGGGAAGCCATGGTGTGACAAACATTGCATCGTCGGACGTCCAGGTCGTCGCCGACGCCGTGCTGCTGCAGAGGAGGAAATCTGCCGGTAACGCTGCGCGTCCCTCGCCGTCACGGCCAGCTGCTCCTCGAGGTCCTGGTCGGAGCGCGACCAAGGGAGAGGTCCGCAGAGCAGCGACATCGGTATCCAAGGAGGGGGATCGGGCCATCTTGGGGTAACGTGTGCCTATTTTACCGGCGGGCCGACACGGACGAAGCGGATACCTTGTCATGGGTATTTCAAGGAGGTGGGTCCTTACGGCCAGCGGCGCCCAGGAGCCAGGACGCGCCATCTTCGGGTCAGGGCCCCGGCGGCGGGCAGGTCACTGTGGCGAGCCGCACCCGGGAATCAATAGAGAAGCCGTTCTCGGGCTGGGGCCGCGGGAAGGGTCGGTCCCACTTGCGAGCGGCGCCCAGGAATCAAGGGCCGTCGTTCACGGGCCCCGGCCGGGGAGGAGGCGGCACCCAGGAATCAATAGACGCCAGTTCCAGACGGGGGAGGGTGGGTCCCTGTGGCGAGCGGCTCCCAGGAATCATGCCATGAGCGAAGAATGTTTCAAAGTCTGTGTGCAAAGTTGAGAAGTAGGGTCTGGTTGCAGGAAGGACGCGGCCGAGAATTCAGGAATCCTCTTTTTCGGACCTGGTCCGAGTTTGAACCAGAATTGAGTTCAGAATCCGCTCCCGCTGTTAATTCAATCAGGGTCTCCATGGGCGCATGCTAAGGATAAGAATCTATGACCCTAGACAGGCCCACCCCCCCCGTCCTGGTATCCAGCTGCCTTCGGCCAGTCCCGCCACAGTGCCGGCCGGGTGCTCTCGGAGGCAACCGGTCGCGTGGCGGCATGAGGCTGCGATCCGTGAGTCGAGCGGCGTGAAGGGCCTTCACGCCGCTCGACTGCAGACGGCATCTCGCAGCCGTCTGATGATGGGCGCGTCAGCGCGAAACGCTGCTGTTCGCCGTGGCTCTTTGCAACCAGCCAACAGCAACCCGATAACGTCCGCGCGACGCTTCTGCTCTTCATGCGCCTCTTCTGCGGGTTCGTGGGGGCCGAAGGAGGAAGAGGAAGAGGAGGAGAGGAGGAGGCGGAGGAGGAGGGAGGAGAAAGAGGAGGAGGAGGAGTATCATGAGGAGGCAGATCATGAGGAGGAGGGGGAGGAGGAGGGGGAGGAGGAGGAGGAGGAGGAGGAGGAGGAGGAGGAGGAGGAGGAGGAGGAGGAGGAGGCGTGAAGGGGGGGGGGGGACGTTGCCGGCCACGGCCAGCCTCGGCCACGGCCCGGGGCCCTTGGGCCCCGGAGCCACGGCACGGCGCGAGCACGGGGGGGAGCCCCGCCCGAGCCCCTCTGGAGCTCGAAGGTGGCCCTCGTCTTCGGGGCCCTGGCCCGCCAGCAGGCACGTGCAAGAGAGGAGGGAGGTCCTGCAGTGAGGAAGCTGGGGTTATGTCGGGCCTGTCCCCCTACAGGGGGGTTTTCGACGAGAAACAGAGCATATCCAAAAAATGCCCCCAACAAGGGCAAAACAGCATAACAAGATAGTCCCCAGACTATGTTTGGACTATTTTTTGATTGTTTGGGGGGTATTATTTATTTTTCGTCGAAGATCCCCCTGTAGGGGGACAAGCCCGACTTAAACCTCGAGGCACATCCGTCGTCGACTCTGAGCTTCGTAAGGTCCGCCACCGTGCCGCGGGTGAGTCGAGCGGCGTGAGGGGTAGAGTGCTTTGGCGGTTGGAGCAATTCACGGTCAGGGCGCCGTCGCGTGTCGCGCGTCGGCCGCATTGAGTTGATCGATGACCGTCTGAGGCCGTCCTGGGGCGAGGAGGAGGAGGAGGAGGAGGAGGAGGAGGAGGAGGAGGAAGGAGACGATGGTGAGGGGGGAGATGGATAAGGAGGAAGGAGGAAGAATGAGGAGGAGGAGGAGGAGGAGGAGGAGGAGGAGGAGGAGGAGGAGGAGGAGGAAGGAGGCGATGGATAAGGAGGAGAAGGAGGAACAGAGCGAGGAGGAGCGCCGTAGTGGACGAGTGCGCTATTTCACAGCATGATGGTGATGATGTGGAGGAAGAGTTCATTGGGGGTCGTCTTGGGGCTGTCTTGGGCTCCCGTGGGGCAGTCTTGGGGGTCCGTTGGGCCACTTTTGGCCGTCTTGAGGCCCTCTTAGGCCGTCTTGGGGCTCTCCTGGGCCGTCTTGGTTGGGGCCCCCTTGGCCGTCTGGGCGATTCGCTTGCGGCCGTCTTGGGTCCTTCCCGAGGCCCCCTTCGTCCTGGATCGTCTTTGGACCTTCGTAGGCCGTCTTGAGACCGTCTTGGAGGCGGGTCCAGCTTGGAGGCCTCTAGGGCCGTCGGGAGCTGTAGGAAGCTCGAGAAGGTGAAGACGCCCAAACCTTTCAAGCACTTAACGGAAACAACTGATGTTGGCCTCTTCGGGCCCTACTGGGAATCCTCCTGTGGCATTCCTGGGCCGTCTCGGGGATCTCTTGGGCCAGCTGGGGCCGTCTCGGAGGCATCTTGGGCCATCTTGGGCCACCTTGGCGGGTTCGGTTGCCTGCCGCGGCCGCCTTGGAACCTCGGGAGCGCAGAGCCGTTCTTTGTTTCACGGCATCGTGGCCTCGGGTTCTGCGACCTCTTTTCGAACCCTGATTGCCCCTGCGGGTCCGATCGCCGCCAGGGTGTATCGGACGCCCCCGCCGGGTTCCGCCCGGCTGCAGAGACAGATTCGGAGCCCTGGCCGCCCTTCTTCGTGGCCGAGGCGGGAGGGGTCCGAAGCCAGAAGCTTGACCGCAAATGTGTGTGTGGCGGGGCCTTGACTGATGAGCGCGTTTTCCACCACCACCACCATAAGTTGGATGGGGCGAAGGGGGAGGAGGAGGAGGAGGAGGAGGAGGAGGAGGAGGAGGAGGAGGAGGAGGAGGAGGACCCCCCCGTCCAACTTATGGTGGTGGTGGTGGAAAACACGCTCATCATTGACCATCGTCGCCGGGTTGTCTCTCCCGTCTCGCGCCATCGTGCGGCGTCCCCGCTCGGGGCGGCCCAGCGTCGTGCGGCCCGTCGCCTCTCCGCCACCCACGCCCGGATGGCGATGCCCCTCCTCCACGCCCTCGCGCGACGTTGCCGCCTGGGTCCAGCGTCGGGTGGCGTGCCATCTCCCCGCCAGCCACGCCGGGATGCTTTGCTGCTGCGGGGGGCACGGGATGCAAAGCGATCCCGCCAGGGGCCAGGCGCACATCGGGGGGTGCCCGAAGGCTTTACGGAGCGCGATCGGGCGGCCGTCGAGGCGGCCCAAGGCGGCCCCGAGACCCCCGAAGACGGCCTCGACGGGTGTCAAGCGGCCCACGAGAGCCTCAAGACGCCTCATGAGACGCTCAAGACAGCCGCCCAGGGTCCCAGGAGGCCCTCCAGGAGGCCTCGGAAAAGCCAGAACACATCTAAGCTCGATGGGAAATCTACGAGTTTTGCCTTCTCGCCTTTTCGCCTCCAATGGGCTGCTGAGGCCTCAAGATCACCCTGGAAAGGCCCTCAGACACTCCCCGAAGCCTCCCAAGAGGGCCCAATCCCAGAGGACTCCAAGAGGTCCCAGGAGACCCCAAAGAGGCCCCAAAACAGTTCCCACGAGGCCCCCAGTAGGCTCCCAGATGCCCTCAAGAGGCCCCCGAGAGTCTCCAAGAGGCCCGCCGCCCAAAAGCTCCCAAATAGCCCCCAAGGGGCTCAACTAGGCCCCCGAGAGACCGCTCGAAAGCTTCCGACAGGTCCCCTCGATTCCTGGAGGTTCTCGCGCCTCCACGGGCTTTCCTTGGGCTGCGACTTACCGAGGGTGCTTCGGGAGACATCCAGGCCTCGGACAAAAATGGCGAACACTCGTGCCACAGTCATCGGTCCACGCCTCCCCCATCCCCCCAATGTTCAAAGTTGGCGGCGGGACTGACTAGTTGCACTCGACCGCAGCCCCCTACGCGCGTGCCAACTTTGAGTTCGGGGGAGAGGGGGACAGTACATGTACATTATATTTGAACCCTGTGGCCCAAGATGCCCCCAAGACCCTCCGAAATTAATATTGATGGCGTGACGACGGGGGGGGCGTGAGTGGACAGGATTTTCGAACCCCCAAAGCACCGCCATTATTGAGATCAACATTGATGTGCGGAGGAGGAGGACGAGGAGGAGGAGGAGGAGGAGGAGGAGGAGGAGGAGGAGGAGGGAGGGCGGAGGGAGGGCGGGCGGGCGGGCGGGCGGGCGGGAGGAAGAGGAGGAGGAGGAGGAGAGGAGGAGAGGAGGAGTAGCAGGAGGAGGAGGAGGAGGGGGAGGAGGAGGGGGGGAGGAGGAGGAGAGGAGGAGAGGAGGAGGAGGAGGAGGAGGAGGGGAGGGAGGGAGGGGGAGGGAGGGAGGGAGGGAGAGGAGGGAGGAGGAGGGAGGAGGAGGAGGAGGAGGAGGAGGACGAGAAGGAGGAAGAGGAGGAGGAGGAGGAGGAGGAGGAGGAGGAGGGAGGAGGAGGAGGCCTCACGACGAAGTCGGAGCGCGTGGATAACGGCGCCTCGCACCCAGCGCGGCGAGTATACAATGCGATGTCTGGCGACCGGCGGCCTCTGGAGGCTCCTGGGGGGCCCGAAAGAGAGCCAAGAGCAGCCAAGAACCTCGACACCCGACCAGCGCCGGAGGAGGCAGCGCAGGGCGGCGGATCCCGATGCAGAACGAGAAACGTGTGCATAGCTTCAGCTGGAGCCTCGCGCCCTCACGCACCAGGCTACAGGGGCCGCAGTGGCCCTCCCAGGGACCGGGGACCACGGTTCCCCATGGGGGTCCGGAGCTCCATGAGGGTGCTCTGCGAGCCGCGCTCTTCCAGGGCTCCCAGGATGCTCCAAGATGGGCTCACAGGATGCACCAAGATGCTCTGGAGGCCCTCTTCGGGAATGCTTTTGGAACCCTCTGCGGGCGTCTTTGGCCGTCTTAAGGCCATCTCAGGTATTCTTGCTTCCCCGGCGTGTTCGAGCCCCGCCTGGAGCCGTATAAGAAGGCAGTTGGGGCATCTTGGCGGCCACGGAGGGTGGACTTGGAGGAGGAGGAGGCGCAGGAGGAGAAGAGGCCGAACTCTTCCCACAAGTCGCGCCGCCGTGACGTTTCTGCGCGCGGCGCCCGAGTCTGGCGGGGGGGTCTCTGTCGACGGGGGCGCCGCCAGAGCACGACGGCGCGCGCGGAGGCACGGCGCGCGCGCGCAGGAGCTGGAGAACGACGAGGAGGTGGCCCGCGCGATGCAGATGTCTCTGGAGGCCGCCTCGCGGACGCCGCCGCCGTGGTCGCCGGCCTGGGGCAGAGAGGTCGAGGGTCCAGCATTGAGGCTGTCGTGTTTGCTCACTTGTGGCGGTCTCCCTGGGACTCCAGGGACCTCTGGTTGCGTCGGCGTCGGCACCGCCGCCGTCGTCGTCGCCTCCGTCGCGTTCCGCTTCCGTCGGTCGCCGCTTGTTCGCCGTTTGTCGCCGTTTGTCGTTCCTCGTGATCGTTGCAGGCGTCGTCGTCGTTCATGGTCCCCCTCGTCGTCGTCGTCGTCGTCGTCGTCGTCGTCGTCGTCGTCGTCGTCGTCGTCCCTCCCCGAGGGAAGGGGGATGAAGGAGGGAAGGAGGGAGGAGGAGGACATACGGGTCGGAAGAGGATGAGGAAGGGGAGGAGTAGGAGGAGGAGGAGGAGGAGGAGGAGGAGGAGGAGGAGGAGGAGGGGGAGGGGGAGGAGGAGGAGGAGGAGAAGAAGAAGAAGGAGGAGGAGGAGGAGGAGCGAGGGTGCACCTCTCCGTCCCTACCTCCGTCCCACCCTTCCCTTGGTCCTCTTCGTTCCCATGCTGCCACGCGTGCACAAGATCCACACCATGTCTAGAACCAGTGCCTAAAGCTGGGGGTGGGCAAACGTCGGGGGGGAGAAAGCTGGACGATGCCTCAGGCAAAGTCCAACCTTCCTCGCAGCGGAAGGCTGCGCCCGAAAACAGACGATCTGCCGCTCGGACCACGGCCTTCCTTCAAGAGAGAACTTGCCAGCATCATCGTTCCAAGGTCAACTGGGGCACGTCTCGCGAAGGCCCCGCAATTAGGGCACCAGATCATTGGCAAGGCGGCCCTCCCGCCCCCTCCCCAGAGTCGGTGGAGCGGGTGGGCTTGCCTCGCTGTCCGGGGGGAGGGCTTCTTGGAAGCACCCCCGCTTCCTAGAAGGCGCGGGCCTGTCTATAGATGCAAGGCCAGCGCCTTCAACGAAGCAGCTTCCTTCTAAGAAGCCCCCCCCCCTCCCTCCGCCCCCTCGTGCGCGCCGCCACGAGCCACGGACGGCACGAGCGCCGACTCGGAGGCCCGCCAGGGATCTCCCTGGTCGGCGCGGAGGTGCCGCGTCGTGTGGGGGATGCCGCAATGCCTGCGCCGACGGAGGTGGGCTCGCCTAGGGACGTGCTTACGGCGCTCTGTCTTGTCACGCGGACTGTTCGGGTCACTGTGCCCGCGGCCACACGAATGGCCATGAACTGCCCCTCGGAGGTCTCATTCGGGTCCATTAGGCTCCTCCGGTAAAGCCAAGTAGAGCCCCGATAGAGCCCCAGTAGAGAACACATAGAGCCCGAACAAAGGAAAATGACATGAAAACCCTCGAAACAAATCGATCACAACCTCAATATTTGTGATGCGGGCTTCGAAAACCAGTCTTGTAAAACCAAAAACGACGAACAAAACAACCGATTCAGGTTGACGAACACTGATTTTTTTCCAAAAAAATCGGAAATGCCATTTTTCGATCATGGCTTGGGAAGATGAAGCTCGCTAGAAGAAGCGTTTTTCGTAACAACCCATGCGGTTCTGACATACAAAACATACGACACCAAACGTGAAATGTAGAAGAGTATGGGGCAACTGTGGGACCACGCTAGGGAGGCCCGAGTCCTAGACGAGTGCAAGCCCTTTCCGATGCTGTGAATAGTGAGGATGACGAGTCGCCACTTTCGCACCATCCTCATCGAAACCCCACCGCGTAACATCATCGACTGGGCCATCGTTGGGTGTTGTGTAATCGCTATGCTGAATATCGTTACCGTGTCCCGCCACCTTCACCGTAGCCATTTTGGCGCCAGATTTGGCCTCGGGGCCTGCATGCTGGCCTCCCGCCTTTCGCGGGCCCTGTCGTACCACGCCACTTACGACGCCCTTGGAGGGCACGCACTAACGAACGAAGGTGTCAAATCTGTGATTTCAGAGTTTACTGGCCAGAGAAGGCAGATTCCCGCATCGATTGGGCCAGCTTTCGGTATTGGAGACACGATGTATCGCATCGACATCATTCCTGTGATCCTGGTGTGGTTGGGTGTACCCGTTGATGATGTTTCCTGGATCTCGGCCAAATCGACGCTGGCAACCCATCGACATGTATGCAGTGATGTTGTTCCTCACCTTGGGCCTGAAGATAGAATCGCAGGCCACGACGGTGAGGACTTGGACGCAGTTGTGCCTGTGGAGCCCGTGGAGACAGGCACGCCCTACGACCACATGTCTAGACAAGAGCTCATCATGGCCCTCCTCGAGAAAGACGCTGCTCTTGCTCGGCAGCGGCGGATCCTAGGCAGACGCAAACAGCAAGTGCATCGTCTTGAGCTTGCTGTGCGCGACGGCGGTGACGAACAGGACGATCGAAATCAAGGCCTTCGCATTGTCGTGGGCCATGGAGAGCAGAGGGTGAAGCTAACTGAACAAGGACAGGGGGGGATCCCAATATGACTACCGAGCTGGTCCTCCCTCAACGCCCCTCGCCATCCCAACTCTCATGGCAAGAGCTGGGGTGGGAGGGCGCGGGGCGTTGAAAGCGGACAAGCTGGCTGGTACAATGGGAGACTCCTGAAGCCCTGAAGGATCTGCCGCGCTCGCAGTGCGTCGGAACCTCTCCAACATAGCGTGTGCAGACATGGGCTCCGCTGCACTCGTCGACCTGAGCCGCTGGGCAGTTGCGAGAGCCGAGGTCAAGTCGGCAGCAGCGTTGATCGCATCGCCCCATGCATTTCACAAGGTGCTCACTGACGCAATTGGGGCTGGAGAGATCGATTGCTGCGTCTTTGCCTTCAGGCACGATGCGACTAATTCGCGGATCTGGCAACGGGGCAAGCTCGGTGCACTTGAATTAGAGACGGGTTTCATTTACAAGGACACCCCAATGCCAGTTCCCATGCGTTTCGACGACCTGGCCTTTAACCTTCGGCGGGCTGCTGACGCGCTACCTGTTGATCATGGGGATGGTGGGCTTCGACTGCGTGTGTCCATGAGCACCCCCCCCTCCTCCCGCTTCCCCTCCCCCCCCCCCCCCCCCCCCCCCCCTCGCACATGTCCATGCGCCGCGTGAGGGGCGGGAGGGGGAGAGGGAAACGACGATGGGGAAACTCATTTACAGACGCAGTGGTGCGATTCCCTCAGGTCCCCACACGCTCGGTGCGTGGATAAAGCAGCTTCGGTCTCTTGGGTATCCGACGTGGGATGATATCGGCTTAGATTCGGAGGGCGCGTACGCGTTCTGCTATACGAGGGATCGTGGACCAGACGAAGCACATGCGTCAAAGCTCCTCGCCGCGATGTTAGCACCCCGGGGCAATATCTTGTTCATGGGTAGTGATTGTCAAGAACATGCGCGACATCTAATTGCACTGGATTGCCGAAAAATCGCAGATGGTTTTTTAAAGCATCGTGGATCCAAGCGAACATACTTCTCCACACTGGCCAAACTAGCGAATGTCATTCGGGAGGTGATCAAAGAGCTCTATCACAACTTCTGCAATCTATATGGTTACATGGATGACAACAGATGCATGAAGAAACCCTTTCCTTCGTGCGTTGCTGGCCGGTGGGGCTCGGTCGACGTTGTTGAGGAACCATCTTGGATATTGGCCCAGATCGGTTGATGCACGCTCTGAGAATTACCTTGCGCGATAAACATGGCGACGACGCGGGGCGAGAGCCTATCCAGGACTGAGGGGAAGGGGGCCAAATTGCAGGAGCAGAGGGGCAGAGGATGAGAAGCGGCATCAGCGCCTTCAGAGAGAGAGAGGAGAAAGAGGAGGATGAGGAGAGGAGGAGGACGAGGACGAGGACGAGGAAGACAAGGATAAGTAGGAGAGGAGGAGGAGGAGGAGGAGGCTAGAGTCTCTTACGCTTCATCTTCCTTTCCCTATCCTCCATCCCCTCCTTCTCCTCATCCGTATCCTCCTCCTCCTCGTCCTCCCCTCTCCTCCTCCTCCTTCTTAGCCTAAGAGGGAGCTGGAGGATGAATGAGTTGTTTTTTGTTACTCCCTCCAAGGACGAGCCCGAGGGCAAGCGGAGCGGAGTCGACGAAATTGCTATGGACGAGCAGAAGCACTTCTCTGCGACGTTGGGCAAATGGCGCAGAGACATCCTAGAGACCGAGTCCGATGCGCTGTTCTGGCGAGTCCTCAAGATATACAGGCATTCACGTGCACCTCTCAAGCACCGCGCTGCGTTTGTAATGAAGTCTCTTTCGGAGGTGGAGCTCGACGACCAGGGCGCGCACCTAGCTCAACTGGTAGGTGGTAAAGCACGTGCAATGTTTAAGGAGTTCGTGACAAGTCTTGATGACCCATCCTGGGACGATATGACCACTCAAGGGATTAATGCTGTCGCTGACCAGGCTTGGCGTCGGCAGCTCGCAGTCGCGATGGTCCTGGCGAATGCTGTTGGGTTCCGTCGCCGCATATCACAAAAGGTCGTGACATTCCCAAACAAGTTGTTGCTTCTGGTGGATGTTGGGGTGAACGAGCCCTCTCCTGACAAATTCAATGTAGCGAAAGAGATTCATGATACTCCAGATGACCTTCTTGAGATCAACGCTCTGAAAATCAAGAAGAGGTTCGCAGCGGACATCCAGATGGCAATCGATACCGAGGGGAGAAGCACTGGTCCGAAGCTATATCAATTCCTTTGGCTGGTCAGACGACTGTGGAAAGGATGCGTCCGGGGGAATGAGCGAATCAACAAGATGATATCTCTACTGGGAGAGCGGTGCCCAAACGCAACATTGGACTTGCTGTCGGGGGGAGTGTGCCTCAAGGATTACCTCACGAACAGGGATTCTAATCAACGATGGTCTGCAAGGCGCCCAGCTGCCCAAGCTTTGGTCGCATGGATTATCGAGAACGGCGGCGACGGTGCTCGCAAGGTGCAATCAGAACCCGAGAGATGGAAGGCCCCTGATAGGCCACAGATCTGCCGGCCAAAATTGAAGTCAAGGGAATGAGTTTGCGCATGGACATCTATGAGGATAACCCCTCCTTGCCTGGGTTTGTTTGGTGTACGGCGTACAACTTGGCGCGGTGCAGATGGAGGCAACGCTTGGGCAGGACCACCGAGGCTTACTGCCTGGCCGAGTGCTGGGCGTTCGTTGATCATTTGGAAGATGATTCACCTGTGTTCCTCACGTTCGACAGGTATTACCACGTGTCTCGAGTGGCGCACGCACATGTTGAGCAGGTGCGCTTCGAATCGCTTCAACTGGTCATTGGTGCTGATCAAGAGTGCAGGTCGTCTCTCAGCCTTTTCATGCAACATTGCGACCGCCTGTTCGAAGTGGAGGGCGACGCACCGTTGGTTGATTGTGGGCTTCACAGATATCTGATCACATGGGACGCGCAGGGGCGCGGACTTCGGCGCGCGTCCACACAGGGGAATGGCAAACCTGAAGATACCGTCGTTACCTTGCAGAAAATTCCTCCGAAGATCGAGAGGGGGCGCGACGGCGCGGAGGGGCCCAAGCCGCCCAAGCCGAAGAAACCGAAGAAGCCGAAGCCGCTGCCAGGTGGTGGCGAAGCTGGCCCAGTTGACGCAGCTGGTGATGGCGCCGCTGTCGGAGGCGACGAGGTTCCCGGCATGTCAGACGACGAGCTGTCGCGAGCCTTAGAGCTGGCCATGGACCTGACGTGGGAGCAGGAGGTGCAGGGAGGAGACGCAGACGACGATGATGGGGCCGACGAGACAGTCGCGCAGGCCGCGCAGTTAGACTGGGCAGGGAAGGACGAGGAGGCAGCTCGCAAGAACGAGTTGGGCAAGATATTTAAAGCAATAGACGCAACCGACGATGCAGCAAGCCCCAGCGGACCGAGCGGACCTGCCGTAGACCCTGCTGCGATTGACGAACTCATCGAAGCAGGCCTGCACGGCGAGGAAACGGAGGTGGAGGCGACGCTGCAGCACGTGACGCTTGGGGGAGTCGGAGACCCCGACCCTCCTCCAGATATTCCAGATACTACGCAGGAGCCGAAGCCGATGAACATAGATGGGCCGAGCTTTGTTGACCTGGATACCGATGCGAAGACAGTCCTTGTGTGTTGGCGCGACTCGTTCCATTTGGGCATGGACTTGACGTCCGAGGTCGCGAGCGAGGGTGTCAGGTGTATGGAGCTCGGCCAAGACGAGCAAGACGAAGCATGCATGTCCCTCATTGCCTACAACGATCCTCACACAGGGGATCACACCGACTTTGTCCAGTGGGTTCGGGATGAGAAGTGGGAGGGTCGAATTGCATCGCTCGACGACCAGAACAGGGTGATCACAGTTGTTGGTGCGAATGTTAGGAAGCAAGACTTCACTGGGCGCGCTGTCGTGCACCCAGGGATTGGTATCAAAATGCAGCGGGCGAAGAAAGCCCCAGGGGTCTACCTATCTAAAGAGCGAGAGGTCATGCCAGCTAAGTGGGTGCGTTTGCGTGACATGTGGCGTACAGCGCAGACGATGCAAGCTGTCTCGGTGAGCACTGGCCCCGCTGACAACACAGCAACTGTTCTTCAGTGTGCGCGCGCGGTGCGGGTGCACCGAGGGCGCCGCCAAGCTTTTACATTGCGCAGCGCGTCTCCTTGCATAGCACGACGACTGCGCAGCAGCGGTGCTCGAATTTCAGCCCATGGTTGAGCATGTGAAGGGGTGCGACTTCACGTTGCCTGCCCCTTTTCGGGTGTGACGCGATGTGCCGCTTGTGCATGAAGGCGTATTCTGAATGCTGAAGTACTGCATGCTGCTGGGGATGTCAGCAGAGGCGGATAGCAAACACATGCGTGCCAGGAACGAACTGAAACATAAACTTAGAGCCAATGCCAAGAAAGGAAATATCACGTTTGATCAAAAAGAACAACAGACCAAGCTTAAGTGTGGGCCGTAGGGCCGTGGCGTATGTACCCTTGTATTCTTGCCGTCTTGCACCATGCATCCACCTTGGCGTCCTCGCCCTCCTCCTCCCCCCCTTCCTCCGTTCATGCATCCCTCGTCTTCCCCCTCTTCCTCCTCCTCCTCCTCCTCCCCTCCTGCTCCACCTCTATTGATCCTCCTCTGCTCATCCTTGGGTATGGGTGTTTGGGCGTCCATCGTCATTTAGCTTGGGCCTCTGACGAAGGGGTGAGTAAAATGGTCTAGCGGCGCTCGCGCCCCGTTTTTTTTATCGAGTGGGGCGGCCCCCATGGGCTGCTTGATGTTGAGCTTGTTTGTCAAAAACGAGCGTCTCGCTAGAGATATCCTCGAACAGCTGGCATCGTAAAATCGCTGGCTTCGTCGACGAGAGGGCCACGGGAGGAAGAACGAAGGCCCCAAAGAGTCCCACGCGAGCCTCACGAGCCCCAAAGAGCCCCGCACGAGCCTCACGAGCCTCACGAGTTCACCCAGGGCCCCTAAGGTTCCCATGTGGACATTCTGGCTCAAGCGTTTGACTTGACACTGGGCCCTCGCCAAGGCCACCGCCCTTCCTCTCGCCAAGGCCACTGCTCTTCCTTTCCATGGAGCGGCCCCAGCGGCCCCGATCGCCTCTGGACGGCGACGCTGGCAAGGGCAAGGGCAAAGGCAAGGGCCCATCGTTCCCAGAATACTGGTCGCTTATGACCGAAGGGGAATTCAACCGCTTCAGGCGGCCCCCTTCGTTTATGCACGACAAGCGTTTCGGATGCGAAACCGCATTTGCAGACGTGGTCACCTTAGAAACTGCGCCACCTGCTAGCACGAAGCCTCACCACAGCGGCGGCGACAAGGGCGGCGCCTTCGGCGACCATGACGTCGGCGGCAAGGGCGGCACTTTCGGCGACCACGACGGCGGCGGCAAGGGCGGCAAGGGCCCCAAGGGCCCCAAGGGCCGGACCACTTTCGGCGACCACCACGACGGCGGTGGCAAGGGCAGCAGCGCTGCCCTTGCCGCCGCTGTGGTCGCCGAAATTTTTTCGGCGACCACGGCGGCGTCATGGGCGACCTGGCCGGTGGAGAGCCTCTCAGTCCTCCGTTAACGCCGCCAGAGGCGTTTCTTCGGCCAGACGGCTCGTCGAGACTGGACTCGCCCTCGCCGCGTTAGTGTGCTCAGTGTGCTCAGTGTGCTTGTTGCCAGCCAGCGCTCAGTGTACTCAGTGTGCCAGCCAGCGCGCAGCGTGCTCAGACATTGCCAGCCAGCCAGCCAGTTGCCAGCCAGCGCTCCAGCGCTCAGTGTGCTCAGACATTGCCAGCCAGCCAGTTGCCAGCTCAGTGTGCCAGCCAGCGCTCAGTGCGCTCAGTGTGCCAGCCAGCCAGTTGCCAGCCAGCGCTATTGCCAGCCAGCGCTCAGCATGCTCAGTGTGTGCTCGTTGCCAGCCAGTGCTCAGCTCAGTGTTCTCGTTGCCAGCGTCAGTTCAGTGCGCTCAGTGCGCTCTGTTTTCGTGGCAGGGGTCAGCTCAGCGTGCTCAGTGCTCGTTGCCAGCCGGCGCTCAGCTCAGTGTGCTCATCGTGTGCTCAGTTGCCAGCCAGCGTCAGCTAAGTGCGCTCAGTTTGCTTGCCCGCGCTCAGCGCGCGGGCCGCACTCAGCGTCTGCCAGCGCTCACTTTGCTTGCTCGCGCTCAGTGCGCGGGCCGCGCGCGTCGCCTGCGCCGCAAGCGGCCGCCAGAGGCAACACAAGAGTGTATGAGTATGGTTGGGATGTGAGAAGAGCCATGCTCAGGGCCATGCTCCTCCTCCTCCTCCCCCTGAGGCTCCCTGAGGCACCAGAGGCAACACAAGAGTGATGATCATGGTTGGATGGCACACGGCCGCCATGAGAAGAGCCATACTCCTCCTCCTCCTCCTCCTCCTCCTCCTCCTCCTCCTCCTCCTCCTCCTCCTCCTCCCCCTGCTTCTCCTTAGCCTCATCCTCCTCCTCCTCCTCCTTATCATCCTCCCTTTCTTCCTCCCTCCATCCGTCTCCGTCCGAGTCTGGGCCTGTCTCACGCGCGTCCATCCCCTCGAGCTGGCAGGCGCATTGGGCCCGCATTGGGGGAACCGAATGGCCGCTCGGAAGTGTAGGTGGCCAGGTGGGTTATTGTAACAACTCTGTAGAGGACTCCAAAGATCCCAAGGGGCCCGGGCAGGGATAGGGTTTAGGAGGTGAGAGGCCGAGGACGAGGAGCAGGAGGGGGAGCGATGAGGGATGCGGTAGGATCAGGCGAGGCCGACGATGAGGAGCAGGATCAGGAAGCAGGATGATATGGCAAAGGGAGCAGGGTAGCAGGGGAGGGAGATACGCCCAACATCGCCACCCAACTCCGCCAACTTGTTGGGCCAACCCATCCAAACCGGGGCGCGACAATGATGCCCAGACGCTTCAAACAACACAAACACGTTAGGTGAACGCCTGAATCCGAAAGCTAATGCGACTTGGGTGACATGAAATTACAGCCCGCGCACATGACAACCGCTCCTGATTTGAACAACTCAAGCCTGATTTGGGCCTTCTTTTGATGAATTCGGGCCTGATTTGGTGAGCAGTGTGGGCCTCCTGGGGCCTCTGGGAGCGAGTGGTGCGGGCATGCCCTGGAGGTGCCATTCGGGCCCTGAGGCTTGAATGGCAGGGCCATTCGGGTCCCGAAGCTTGAACGGCATGTCCATTCGGGTCCTGAGGCCTGAATGGCTGATTCTGACAGGGCCATTCGGGTCCCCGGGACCTGAATACCATGTCCATTCGGGTCCTGGGGCCTGAATGGCCTGCCCTGACAGGCCCATTCGGGCCCTGAGGCCTGAACAGACATACCATTCGGGCCCTGGCGCCTGAATGGAGGTACCATCGGAGCCCTAGCGTCTGACGGGATCAGCTTCAAAACCAGGGCTTATTTCATGCGAAATGGCATGCAAATGGTGCGAACAGAAACGAATCTCAGCTCAACCAATGACGAAAACAAGCCCAAAACACACCGTTCGCAACATGAAACAAGACAAATAAACCAAGAACGATCGCCGATTTCGAGAGGGATACCGTAGATTTCGACACGCGCACAACGCCATCAGCATCAGATTCGGCAGCATATCAGCATCGTCATTGCCATTTTCATCGATGGTGGCGGGATAATGTAGCCCTCAGCAATGGTGCACTACGGTCTGCCCCTCGTTCTTGTCGAAGCCACTTTGTCTCTGTTGCGCATCCAAGAAGCACGGGGCGCATCCGAATTCTCACCAAGCAAACGCCAACACTACCGTCATCCGTTGCTCGTTTTGGCTCAGACTTTTTGCGAGGCGATGGGAGCTCCTGTCACCGGCCAGGGATATCTCGAGATGTCGTGGGGGCTCTCCGACTGGGCTTGATGGAGAACCACCGCCGAGCCGTGGCCGTTCGCGCACCCGAGCATGCAGCCATGTTATTCGAAAACAGCGGCGGCGGCGAGAATTGCGGGCCAGTCAGCTGGGTGGTGATGCCATCCAAAACCAATTGCTTCAAGTATGGTGATCAAGTCTACGTCGCAGAAACTACTACAGGCTTCTGTTCGCGGAAGGAGGAAACTTTATGCAAGCTCCATGGGATTGTGACGTTCGGCTGTATAAGGACCATCAGCGAGTCCGACATCATGAACAACTTCAAAAAGCACAGGATGACAGAGGCGGAACTGGACAACGTAATCAGCATGGACAGGCGGAAGGGCAAGGTCATATTTGCGGAGTTCAAGGATGCGCAGAAGCTTGACGAGCCTCTCATGGTTGCACTGAGGATCAACAAATGTAGCAGGGGCGCAACGTTCTTGCGAAAGCGTGCCATTCCAGCGGTTACCTTTAAGGCCACTCAGCAGCTCCTGTCCTTCCAGCCCATGACGCGCGGCGGACAGGACGCCGCGGCCGACGGGCGCTTGCGAGAGCAGCAGAGCACCGCACTTGCTGCGGCCCCAGCTGCTGCGGCTGCTGCGGAGAGTGGCGCCGGCAACGACGCGGCGGCACCCATAGCTTCAACGGCTTCGAGGGCGCTGGACTCGCGCGACTCACCTGGGAGGCTGAAGCGCGAGGATGGCGAGGATGGCGAGGTTGCTGAGGAGCCGCCGCGGCAGCCATCGCTGCTGCCACAGCCGGAGCTCGAGCAGGAGGGCCCGCCGAGCTCCCCTGCTCAGACGCTTCCAGAGGAACCGCCGCAGCAGCCGCAGCCCCAGGCGAACGACGTCCTGGAAAATGGTGACAAGAAGGAGTCCAAGAGCGAGGATACCGAGGCTGCCGAGGCTGCGTGCGAACCTCCCCCATTGGCGACCACGGACAATCGACAGCCTGAGAAGCAATCTGATCATGATGATGCGAGTGATAAGGAGGCTCGGATCGACAAGGCTTCTGAGGCGCACGAGGGCAGCAACGTCACCGACTACGTCAGCACCGCGGACCGCGCGGAGCCACCGACTGCCGACTTCGAGCGCCACGTCATAGACAAGCTGACCAAAGAGGAGGGAGAAGACGTCTTGCTTCGCATCGGGCGCAACTTGGGCGATATGACGATGTCCACGGCCTTCAGTGGCGTTGGAACTCCAGAGGCCAGCATGAATGTATTGCATTATTGTCTTCAAGGTATCCTGCCCAACGAGAAGCTGAAGCGGCCCAAGATGCTCTCCGCTTGCGACTTCGACAAGGACTGCCAGATGGAGCTCAAGTTGCTGATGCAGGAGAGCGGCGGCTGTGTATTCGGAGACATAACCGACGTCTGGTCAGACGAAGCGGTGCATCTTATCAAAGACAAGAAGATCACCAGCCATACCGCGTTGAAGATGCTGGCCCCTTTGGTGTTCGACGGTAAGGCTGTCAAGCTTTCTGCGAGGTGTCATGCTCACAACTGCATCTGCGAGCTCAAGGAGGCACACCGCCACGCGGCAAGCACCCTGCACCGACTTCACAGCACTGGGTTCCCAGCAGGGCGTGCTAGGGCCAACCATATTATGCCTGCTCTCGTGGGTAAGCCTGAGGCTCCGTCTCCAAGAATCACTGGTCGTTCAAGAAAACGCGAAGCAGTTCGCGACGGATGCGCTGGCTAAGTTCCTGGACAAGATCTACTTCATCGATGTCGCCAACACCGATCCACGATCCTTCGGCTCCCCAATTGCCAGGGAGAGAAAATTCACAATCCTCCGGCACCGCCGGAAGAGCATGTCTGATATCCCTCCGCTGTCAAGGTTATTGCGGAGGTTTTATACCATGAGCAAGTCGACGTGGCGCGACTTCTTTTTCATGCACAAATACCGGCATAATGCCTACGACAACCCCATCATCAAGGAAGAGCCCAACGAGGAGCTGAAGTGGGCTTCGACACAGAGGCGCAACAGCTTGAGGTACCGGAAGGGACCCCTCTCGACGGACGATCGCGATGCCTTCTGGTGGTCGTTGAGCCCCTGGGAGCAGGACAATGTTAAGACCTATCGGAAGTCGTTTCCAGGAGCAGCGTGGTCATTGTCTCAAGATGGTGCCACGAATCACCAGATGTCCTCATCTGGTGACAATATGCAGACCCTTGTGAGCAAGATTGACCTCATCTACGCCGAGCTGCCCTCTGGAAGCCGCTGGCTATGCGGCGCAGAGGCTTTGTTTGCCCAAGGTTTTCCTGTAAACCCTGCATTTGTACAGGCGCACATGAGCGCGGGAGGCACCGCTCTCTGTAGCTTTAACGTTCGTAGGCCTCCCGATGAAGCGTGTCGCAAATGCCGCAACGTGTGCGCAGAACCTGGGAACGCAATGCACGTTGCAATCATCATGCTATCGCAACTCTACTGTCTCCTGTATGGCCAGTCCGCGCCAACGAGTCCTGCCCCTCAGCCAGCGCGCCAGAGCCTTGACCGAATCCGAGCCTTCAAGAGGAAGTTCGATGAACTCGACAAGAGCTCTCAGAGCTAAGTGAGCTGCGAGGCGCGATGCTAGAACAGACAGAGGCTCTTTCCTGTGGCAGGCCAGTGTCAGGCGGTCTTGGCCTCGAAGAATCTTGGCAGGCAGTGCGCGCGCTGGCGGGATAAACAGAGGGCTGAAGGGGTAGCCTCAGCCTGAGGGGTAGCAAAACAAACAAGCAACCTCATCAGCATCATCATCAGCATCATCAGCATCAGCATCATCATCATCACATCCCACTGCTGAAGTGAAGAGAGGTAGGGGTGCCCAAGCAACCCAATCAGTCCGTGGCCCTTGCAACCTGGAAAACCCTTCGGACCCCTTCGGAGCCTTGCTGGAAGAAAGCCGCCTCAGACGCCTCAGGCAAGGAGGATGTAGGATAACGGGGAGCAGGGCGCCCAAGCAGGAGTGTAGAAATGGAGAGGGTGAGGGGGAGGACGAGGAACGGGAGGCAGAGCAGCAGAGCAAGCACGCTTTACATGACAAGTAAGTAGAGGGAGGTGGAGGGAGGTGGTGGGTGGGTGGGTTTCTTGTTCGCATGCGCACTTCTCAGGCATGAGAGATTCAGCAAGATCACTAGCATGCAACATTCAGCAACACACACTGGCACAGACAGCTTCGTTGCCGTTTTGGCTCAAAGCTAGATCGAGGTGTTCAGATGGGCCTACGGCCTACAGCCTGCAGAGGCCTCCAGAGACCAAAGGCCAGGCGGAGTCATGGCAGATGCTGCCGATGTGGCTGCAGGATCAAGTAGTAGTGCTGCCAGCGCCACTCTCCAAGCTGCCCGGAACGTCATTTACCGCGCGGGCCTCTCCATGAAGGAACGCTATGGCCCCCAAGGCGGACAGATCTGGGAAGACGGTGCGTGGGCTGACTTCGAAGATAAAGATGGCCCTATCACCATCCCATGGTACAACGAGGCAGGCGGTAAGAACATCATCGCAGCGGACGAAATTGGCCCCTGCAGGTGGCCACCGTGGAAGAATACAAGGAGGGGATACTCGCAGACGGCCTGAATCAGGGATCTCGGGGTGCGCCGCGGATGCAGTGGGGCCCTGGCAAATCTTTTCCTGCGCGAGCCCTCGCGTGGAACCGCCTGAAATACCAGGCTCACGCGGAACAACCAGATAACCCATGCGTTCAGATTGCTCTCAAAGCTGGGCTGAAGAACGCGCGGATGCTCCACTCGGGGAGCTAGGGAGAACCTTGCGAATTCCACCATATCTTTACACCAAGACGAAGAGCTACAGAAGAGTTCGGGATGGCTTCAACCCGAAACCATTTCGAACTCTTCAGGCGGTTCGTCTTGTGTGAAACTTAGGTGGAACTCGAATAAGGTTCTCCACGAGGACACCGAGGAACGTCATGGAGTACATGCGCAGTCGCCACAACAAGTACCACAAGGGGAGCAATACCACCCTCGAGCAGATGATGCGCATCGCGATGACTACTGAGGCCACGTGGCAAGCAACAAAAAGATGGAGCTGATGCTTACAATCCCGACTACGAGAAGCTATACCGCAAGTGGGTCGCCGATAACGCAGAGGAGCCCATGAACACCTGGGGACTGTTCACAAGCACCAAGGGCCTCTGCCACAAACTCGATATATTCGAATGCCAACAAGCGTTTCGCAAATGGTACAACAGGTCTGTTCGGTATCTTCACGACAAGCTCGATCACAAAGGTGCTTTGCACATCATGAATGCGATCGGCGTCAGCATTATCAAGCACATGCCGCCGAAAGCCAAGAAGAAGGACACCAGCATCGCGATTCTGGAGGCTCTTGCTTTTGCAGTGCCCGTTCGGCCTTCGGATGAGCAGCGGAGGCTTCCGTGGATATTCCAGGCGATGGATCGCGTCCGACTGGTTAGCGCGCTCGGCGTGGACATGACAGAGAGCGTCGCGTAGAAGCAGAGACAGGCCGAGAAGGAGCAGGCTGAGCAGGACGAGAAGCGCGGCAAGGCGGGTGGCAAGAAGGAGGCGGGTAAGGGCAAGGCAAGGAGGGCGTCCAGCAAGCCACCTCCTCCCAAGAAGGCGAAGACGACGACCAGTACCTTGGGGAAAGCGGGAAAGGAAACAAGTTCACATTCTTCAACGAGATCATCGATTTGCTGCAGGCGGGCACGGAGGTCTTCAGAACTGAGAATGGCGAGGCAGGCAAGCTGGACACCACGCTGTTGCAGGACCTCGACACCATTCACCACAAGACAACGAGCTACTCCTTGGAGTTCGCATTCAACGGCGCCGTGACGATCCACAAGGAGATCAAGGCGTGGTCGCAGTGCAGGGCTGTGCTGCTGGGAACGTTCACGAACAAGGGGTCCAAGACGGAGTACACTCAGGCCAAAGAGGACGTCGAGGTGAATGCGGGTCAGCCTCTAGAAGACGAGGAGAAGGATGAGCTCAAGGATGGCGACGCCAAAAAGGATCCAGACGAGGCGCTGCTCTCCCTGTTGGAAGCCGACAAGGAGATCTGTGACATGCTGACTGGGATCGCGGGCGACTTCACGGGCGACGTGCCTTTCTCATACCACCGCGAGCTCCGCAAGGCTGGGGGCCAGATCGGTGACATTAAGGCGAAATTGATTTCTTCAACTACCATCCCAACATTCCTGAGAACATGGTCCGAAATTATGGTCTCGATCCTCCCCGAGAAGATGATGCATATCATCTACCGGCTGCCTGTGCACGACCCGAAGGGTCAGTGCATCCCCGCCATCAAGGACGAGGTTTCGCTGGAGTACGCTCTCTCCCTGCGCCCTCACTACATGATGCAGGCGCTGGTGGCCGCCTTGGATGCGGGTGCGATCCCTACTGGCCCTACCTTCAAATCGCTGACCGACCTGGCCTCCGACATGAAGATCAATATGAAAGGGACGGCGCGCGAGTGCAATCTTGATTCAGTGATCATTGCGTTCGGCCTCAATTTAGATACGAAGGAGAAGTGGGTGCAGAAGTGGGGAGATGTGCTGATCACGGCGTCGTCGACGGGCCAGCTGAGCCGCATCGTCAACGAGAAGGTCGAGAATAAGCAGGAGAGCCTCGCCGAGATCCAGGCCGAGACACCGCTGGAGCGACCAGGGCAGAATCTCGATCTCGATATCGACCTTGAGGGTACCATCATTGATTAACGCGCGGGGCATTATTGTGACCTGGCGGTGCCGCAATTCGTGGCACAGGAACCTTATGCGAAATCATCGGCATGTGTAAAAATCCGTTTGGTCCCGTGGGTCCCGTGGGTCCAGTGGGTGAGTGAGTTCGGGGATGGTGTCGGGCCCTGCGGGCCAGCGTGGAGATGATTGGCCTAGGTGTTTGAGAGTTGACATGGACCTTCCCTTTGACAAAGGGAAGGCCCATGCCAACTTTCAGGGGGGCCCTTTGTTTTCGCAGCCACACCTTTAGGAGAAGCCCATGGACCCCGTGGAAGTTGTCGAGGTGGAGCCAGAGGCGCCGCAGATCGCAGAGGTCAGCCTGGAGCATATCATGGGCCTCGAGGATCAGGCCGTGTCCTCCGCGAAGGAGTCCATCGACACCCAGGAGCTCGGCTTTGGTGAGGGGCTCGCGATGATTGATGTGAAAATGCTTGAGAACAACATCTCGAACCTCTACTGGCGCAGGCTGGCTGAGAAGAAAGACATCTGGCCCAAGATTGTATTCCGCAAAGGAGTTGGGAACAAGGCGACGACAGAAGTCGTGGCTCTTCAGCGGCAGACCCTTGACCCGAACACGTTCGTGATGCCGTGCGCTGGTGATTTCACCTGCACGCCCGCCAAGGACGGCATCCCCGTGTGCCACATTCTTGGGCTGCAGTTCTTCCTCGTCCCTGGAAGTGCAGGCTCGGTCGCCTCCGAGGCCCCTGTCCCAGCGTGGATCGTAAAGACTGTTACTCGCGCAGATTCAGCTACCATGGTCCGCCACGACGGCACGTTCACAGCGTATCTCGACTCCAACCTGAACGTCTTCGAGGACAAGCCGGAGGGAGGGAAGATGGTCCAGATCGAGTTCAACAACCCCGTGCTCAAACTGAAGGAGGGAGAGGTGGCCGACAACACGGGCGACATCGTGCTGACGCGCACGCTGACCGACACCGAGAAGACGCAACGTGCTACGAGAAAGTTCCTGGGCGGCACGGACTTGGCCTTGGCCCTGCCATCGGCTTGCGACATCATCGAGACGAAGTTGAAGGCCTTGGCGGAGGGCCTAGCACAGGCACAGGCGCCCACATCAGAGTCCAAGGATGCGGCGGCGAAGTTCGTGGACCCGAAAGGGTTCAAGCACCTCTTGAAGTGATAAGTGAGATGAGTGAGGATGTGGATAGTGAGTTTCGGTCCGAGGCTCTGTGCCTCTCGGGCGCAGCGTGGTGATGGAAGTGTTGCAACAGCTCGAGCTTGAGTGTGCTCTCGACAGGCAGGCAGGAAAATCAGCAAACACCAAATGACTCCAACTAGCAATTCAGATCAGCAGTACGAAGCTCACACTGGTACAAAAAAGCAGCCCGTAGCAACAGCTTGAACCATGGCAAATTGCAACAACATTAGCCTTGAGCCTGAGCCTTCACAACCACATCGGGAAACGTGCGCAAAGTGTACACGAAGGTGTTTGAGGGACAGGGCAGGTAGATCATGATAAGGAGGATCAGCTTGAGCATGACAAGGACGATGAGGAGGTGGAGGAACAGGAGGAGGAGGGCGAGAGGAGAAGGAGAAATCAGGAAGGAGGAGGAGGAGGAGGAGTAGGACGATGGAGGCAGAGGAGAAGGAGGGCGAGAGGCTCGAGGAGGAGGAGGAGGAGGAGGAAGGAGGAGGAGGAGGAGGAGGAGGCGGAGGAGGGGGCCTCAGAGGGTCACCCCTGTAATTAACGTCACATGCGTCAGAGGGGGGCACCCCTGTAACGCCAGGCTGGCAGTAGAAAGAGGGAGAGTCGGAGAGAGATGAGGAGGAGGAGAGGAGGAGGAGGAGGAGGAGGAGGAGGAGGAGGAGGAGGAGGAGGAGGAGGAGGAGGAGGAGGAGGAGGAGGACAGGAGGGAGGATGAGGGGAGGACAGGATGAGGGCCAGGAGGAGGAGGAGGAGAAACAAGGGAGAGGAGGAGGAGGAAGAGGAGGAGGAAGAGGAGGAGGAGGAGGAAAAGGAGGAGGAGGAGGGAGGAGGAGGAGGGAGGAGGAGGCGGTGCCGCGGCGGTGCCCCGCCCCTTCGCGCTCGGGGCGGTCGCGGTCGCGCAGGCCGCGGCGGTTGCCGCCCCGCTGCCGCCGCCGCCGCCGCCCGGTGGAGGTGGAGGAGCGGAGGGGAAGTGGGGGGAGGATGAGGAGGAGGAGGAGCGAAGGAGCGAAGGAGGAGGATGCGAGGAGGAGGATGGTGAGCAGGAGGAGGGCGGGGAGTCCAGGAGGAGGAGGGAGGCGAGGAGGGTGGGGGGAAGAGGACGAGGAGGAGGACCAGAACAATGAAACAGGGGCGAATGAGGATGCAGATCAGGAGTTTTCATGCTCAATCTCGACCCCGCCATCGCCGAAATAAGCCCTCAAACCCTACGTGGGCCTCGAGAGGCCATTCTTAGCCTCGTCGGCCTCTTGAGGCCATTCGGGCTCTATGAGGCCATTCGGATAGGCCTTAGGATGCTTCCCAAGGCTGTTCGGGCGGACGGGGGGCCGAATGCAGTGTGACACTCACTGTGTGCGTAAGCGCGTCCCTAGGGCTCGCCGGCGGAGCCGCGTGTCGAGGAAACGCAAGAAGTCCACTTCGCCTCCTCGCCCTGCGCGCGCGCTCCCGCTCGGCCCTGGCGGCGCTGACCTGCACGCCCTGTGCCAGCTGTTCTGCCTCGCAGCTTCCCCGATCGTTGTCGCGGCGGGTTCGCTGCTCGTGTCCCGGGGGGGCCCTGTGCGGTGGAGGCGGCTCTGGGTTCTGCCCCGTTCTGCGAGAAAGGTCCAGAGACATCCGGGGGCTGAGGCCATTCTCCGCGGGCGCACTTCCCGGCGCGAGCCGGGCGGCAAGAGTTGCGCATATGATTGGGCCAAGAAGAGGGATCGCAGGTGTCGCGCGCCGGCCCCTGAGAGGAAGATATAGATGAGCAGGAGTTCCAGCTCGTTGAGCGAGTCAGGCACTTCACTGCAACAAGGATGGTGGGGAGCAACCAGGACGCGGCCATCGACGGGCTGGCGTGGAAGTTGTCTGGGGGCCTCGTGCTGGTTCACCCTCCCGGGCCCGCGTCCTGCGCTCGACCCCGAGCCCCGCCTCGGCGTTTTGTGCCGGCCCGTGGAGCCGAAGTGGACGGGTCGATGGCCCCCGGGGCGCGCGTTGACCCAATGCGCGTTTGCCCCGCTCGGCTCCACCAGGAGATCATCACAGCACCTGCGTGGTTGCGTGGCATTGAACACACGTTGGCGCAACACACACGTTCCGAGGGCCATCGAACCAGGTGTAGAGGTGGAGTCGGGCCGCGGGCGCTGACCGCTAACTGTGAGCCACTTGCCAGCGCCGCCAAGGTGCACGCGCGTGCGTTGGCAGAGCGCGTGCCCGCGGGGTCCGACCGCCCCGATTCCCCGACCGCAGTCGGCCTCAGCTGCGGGAGGCGTACTCAACGCAGCCGAAGGCCCTCAGTTCGGAGCGCAGGCGCCCCGTGGCGCATAGCGCGAAGGCCCTTGCGACGAGGCCTGCGGAATGGCTCGCGTCAGAGGTGGGCGGCAAATTCTGCGTGGCCCATCGGGGCGGGCGTGATTGGCGCGTCGGGAAGATTAGGAGGAGGCGCAGGAAGATACAAAGGAGGAGTTGGAACAGGAGGGGGGGGGGGGGGGGCGCGGAGGAGAGGGGATATCCCCCTCCTCCTTCTCCTCCTCCCTCTCCTCCTCCTCCTCCCTCTCCTCCTCCTCCTCCTCCTCCTCCTCCTCCTCCTTCTCCAGCAGGTCTGGCCCAGGCAATCTGGGTTTGCTTCGGCGAACTTCAGATCGGCTCTGCTGTTGCGGGCTCAGGTGGCTCGTCTTCGCAGGTCACTCAGGGCAGGGGGCCTCATCCCCTAGCTCTTGCTTTACATGTGGGAGCTCCTGCTGGAGCAGTCTCTCGCCGCGCTCCTTTCAGGACCGCGGCAGGGGGCGCGCAGCTCAGTGGCGGAGGGAAGGGGCGCACGTCGTGGGCTCCTTGGCGCTGTCTCGCCGGGCGTCTCCTCGTCGGGCTTCCGGGGCTCGCGATCCGTCCGGGGCAGGCGCGCCGTGGCGATGCGACGGCTCCATGCAGCTGCCGCCCCGTCAGTCGGGCGCTGCTCCTCGTGCTCGTGATGATGGCGGTGCTCGCCTGGGGCGTTGGTCCTGCGAGTGGTGCGGCCGCAAGCAGAAGAAGCTCAGGAGGGAAAGAAACACACAGACACAATCAATCGTCGACTCCCAGGAAAATATGGGAGAATAGGGGAAGTGGGGGGGAAGGCGAACACCCAGCAAAGATTGGAAAATATGGGGAATCCTGGGATTTGTGTCTATTTATTTGTGTGTCCCTGGGCCACTTCAAAAGCGATTCCACACATGTTGTGAGCATCTCGAGGCCCCCAGGGGGTTCTTCTCGCTCGTCGCACTCGACCTGGGAGTCCGGTTTGCGCGGCCTATTTTTCAACGGATGGGCGGGGCACAGGTGGTGGATGACGGCAGGCTTTTTCGCTGGCATTGGTTCCTGGGCCCGAAGAGCCTCAGCAGGCGCCGAAGAGTGCGGCGGTACTCACCATCAGCGAGTTGGAGTCCTTCATTGCGTTGCACTAGAAGGTCGGCAACGCCGCGGAGGCAGCTCTTTGCAAGGCTCAGCTGGCGGCACTTCGTCCGCCGCCGCAGCAGCTCAGTCCCATCGAGGACCAGCTGGCGAAGTGCCCACGTGACCGGCTCAAGCATGCAGCCGCGTTCGACGAAGAGCCCAAGAAGGTGTCGGCACACGAGGCTCAGCTCGAGAAGCAGAGGAAGCTGCTGCAGTCCATGGCTTCAGACTTGGAGGCGTTCGACAAGAGCTCATGAAGGGGTGGCTCTCAAGGTCGCAGTCGGCAAGCCAACATAAGCCAACCCCAGTGGCTGATGCTGGTGCTGCTGGGCCTGCCAGCCTTTTTGAGGCGCTGCTGGAGAGGAAGGTCGATGCATTATCCGTCGGCTTCGGGGACCTTGCCAAGCTGGAAGCGAACGAGGACTTGGCCATCACAGCTGAAGATCCCCAAGAAGTGGAGAAACGCAGGGGCAATCCTTTCACTGGCTTGCAGGGCATGGCCAAGAAGCTGTTCGTCGAGGCTGCCGGAACCGCTCGCGCGGAGGAAGAGGCCCAGGCGGCTCAGGCGACGAGATTGGCGAAGAAGAAGAAGCGGAACGAAAACGACGGCGACGAAGTGGCGGTAGACACGCTTGTCCTTCGGGGTGACTGTGCTGCAGCTGCTGCTGCTGAGCCCCCTGCCGCCGCAGCCGAGGCTGGCCTCTGGGCTATCTGGGCCCAGGTGGCGGGCCCTGCTCTGGTGCGGCCAGCGTGGCCCGTGGCTAGATTTGTGTCGGGCCTGTCCCTCTGCAGGAGGAATACTCAAGATATTTCAGACATAGTAGGGAGGCGATGTTTGAATAGCTTTGATTATTTGGGAGTATTGCTTGACTATCATTTATGTTTCGTCCAACAACCGCCCGCAGGGGGACATGCCCGACCTAAGGCGTGATGAGGCCCCACACTCTGTCAGGAGATCCGGCCCTTTCGGGCCCTCGCGTCCTCGCCGCGGTGGGCCCCCGCCGGGCGGTCCGCAGAACTTCGTGGGCACGCTGTGCCTCCGCGGGTGCGATGGGGCTGTCTGAGGGGCATCTGGACCTGCCAGGTGCGTTGGGATCGAGGTTATATCAGTCTCGGGCGCGCCCTTCTGGTTGGGAGGAGACTCCAATACAGAGCCGTTTTTAATGCATGCTCCGCGTGCGGATCATGCATTAAAAATGGAGGGATTTAGTATTAAAAACAACGATGAGTTCATGCATGAATTTATTCATACATTGATCATGTATTAAAATCCAATGTTTTTAAACATCATACGTATTAGAAGCTGCCCTGTATGGAATCATCGGAGTTGATGTGTATCTGTATAGGTCTACGTGTATGCTTGTGTATATGTATATGTATATGTCCCTTGGGACCCATATGAGCTCACGGTGTGCCCGGGGAGTCTCGAACATCGACGGCAGGCGTTCCCCCCTTGGGGGATCTCTTGTCGCGGAATCTCTTGGCGTCTGTGTGTTGTGTCTGCCGTCTCCCTCTGCGCGGGCCCCCTTCGCCCTGGGACGCCCCCCCTCCCCCGACTCGGGGGAAGGAGAAGCGACGCCACCACCACCGCCAGGTCGGCCGGCTCCAGCGCGGCGGGGAACGATGCCTCCCCGAGCTGGGGATAGGGGCCGTCTTCCGCAAGAGGGGGGGGGCCACACCACCAGGGGGACCCCGCCTGGCTGCTCCCGCTGGTGGTGGTGATGCCGCTTCTCTTTGTTTCGATCAGTGGCGAAGCGTCCTGGCTTGTCTATAGGCCCACCAAATAAGGCTTTAAGAACCTTTTGTGGTCTGCACGAAATGTCCTTAGAACATTTCTGGCTGAGACTGTCTTGTTTTATCACCTCGTACTCACGTTTTATGTTCTGGGGGCATCGTTCTCGTTCTTCGGGCACTGTTGGGCTCGAAGGGCATGGTTCTCGTTCTTCGAACATTCTGGGGGCTCTGGGAGCATGATATGGCAGGCCTATAAGAAAGCCTGGACGGTCGGTCCCCGCCCAGCTGCCCCCCCCCCCCGACGGCGCCGCCGAGGGGTCCGCCCACGAGGGCCAGCTGGACCAGGACGCGGCGCTGGCCACCGCGATGCAGCAGTCCTTCGAGGCGCCGCCCCGCCCTGCGGGGGGCCGCGCCCTCGCCGCACGGGTCGTGGAGGAGGAGGAGGAGGAGGAGGAGGAGGAGGAGGAGGAGGACGAGGACGAGGAGTTTGTTCTTGAGGTGCTCCGTCTCTCCTCCTTCAGCCGCCCTCCCTGCCTCGTTCTATTTTCCTGCGTAATGGCGCAATTCGCTTCAACGGCAGCCCCGTTGTCATTGCTCTTCCGCCAGCGCAGTTGCTCATCCTAGCAGCCGACGCGCAAAAAAATACATCTGGGCGGCAGCGGCCGTGATCGGCCCTCTCCCTCACCCCCCCAGATCACGTCACGCTCTCTTGCGCCCACCTTGGCGAAGATCGCCTGCGGATTCTTTGAGGATGTCCTGCGATTTCTGGCGCCCCCCCGCCGTGATGCAATCGAGGGAGGCGAACTCCCCCGCCCCCCTTCCGCCGATCACGCACGTTATCGCCAAGAATGCAAAAATCTTGGCATCGCTCGGACGTGTGCATTTTTCCTTCGGCGAGGACCATCGAGGAGCATCCTTGATCACTTGGGGAAAAACCACGCACGAAACCGAAAAAAGCACAGGGAATGGACGTCCGAGCGATGGCCAGAAACAGGCTCCTGGTCCAACGGTGGGCTCGGCAGGCAGACCCCCGCCTCCTCTCGTCGAGAGAAGTCACGGCGGGAGGTGTTGCGCCGTTTGCGGCCTCTGGCTTGGCATCGCTCGGACGTGTGCTTTTTTTTTCTCGGCGAGAACCATCGAGGACCATCCTGGACCATCGAGCAAAAAAAACACGCACGAAACCAACAAATACACGGGAAATGGACGTCCGAGCGACGGCAAGCTGGGGGACTTCGCTGGGTGTCTGGATTGGTCCCAGGGAAGGGTTCCAGGCCCTTGGGGGTTGGCGATGTGAGAACAAAACACGACGTCGGAGTTCTGGGGGGACACAGGGGCCCCCGAGACGTATTCTTGGTATGGCTTGGGCCGTCTTGGGGACCGAGGGGCCACCTTTAGCCTGTGGGGGGTCATGCCATGGGGCGCCGAGGGGAGCGGTCCTCGGAAACCTGCCCCGACCTCTTGTAAAAGCGCGCCACGCTTCACTGCGAGTCATAGTTTCGCCCCCCTGGCCAGGTTTTTAAATGTTTTCGCCACCCCCGGCAGCCGAAATATCGATCTGCTCAATCCTGGCGATGTTCTTCAACTCCGGCCTCCCGGGCGGCTGTCTTCGGGCCCCCAGGCCGTCAGAAATGGATCAAGGGTGAAAGGATATCCCCGGCGAAGTGGTCTGAAGCCCTGGGGCCGCGGATTTGAAAAAAGCACGCCACCGGATGTCTGGGGAATCGTGAAGACCGAAATGTGGATGGAAAGAATTCAGACGCGCGCATCCACTGACGCGACCTCAAACGAGCCCGTCCCGCCATCCAGCGGGGCTTCTTGAACGGAGGCTGCTTCTTAGAAGGCGCGGGCCTCGTCTGCAGATGTAAGGCCAGCGCCTTCTGAGAAGCAGAGCTGCTTCTAAGAAGCCTTCCCCCCCTGCCCTCTTGTGCGCGCCGCCAACAAGCGCCGCGCGCAGCTAGTTGGTGTGGGTAGCGGGGGCCAGGGACAGCAACAAATCCTTCGAGGCCGCGTCGTCTTCGGGGATCGAGGAAGAGAAGAGGTGCTTGGCACGGGCAAGAGGACCGAGGTCTGAGGATGTGTGGTTTTGATCGTGTTGGGCCAGCCCTGGCTGCAGATCCGCCGTACTTTTCGGGCGATCTTGCAAGTAGGGCGGCAATCCCCACCCTACTTGTCAAGCTCTTTTGACGTCCATGTCCCCCCTACTTTGCCGTCGCTGTTTCCACCACGCCTCTGCGGAAATGTCGCCCTGTGTTCCAGAGGCAGAGATCTCCGCCCTAATGTCTCGCAGCGTTCGGGGTGCATTTCCGACACGGCTGCAAGTCGCAAAGGCAACCAAAGCACGGCGAAATTAGAGTCAGGAAGGAGAAGGACCAGCATGAACCCAAGACTCATCAATGATTTTGGAATACACCCTCCCTCCAAGATCCTTCTTCACAGGCCCCTGCAAGGGTTCATTTCCGCTGAGGCAACTGCCCCGTAGGGTGGTACCCGTGTGAAGACCCTTGAGCGTGCCAAACAAGTGTTCTCAGGACTTCAACGCCACGAGTTAACCTGATTGGCACGTCTTGGCGATCCTGAAGCGTGCCAGAACGCCATAACTGTCACTTCAACACCGCGAATCAGCGTAACTGTTGCGCCCTGACAGCTTTAAATCGCTCCAAACACTTTTGCTGGTACGTTAGCCATGGGAATCACTGAAACATTTGCGAATATTCAAGACGAGCGCGCGCGGCGCTAAGGCGAGAGCCACATCTTGAAAACAAGCCCCCCTCAACCCTTGAAGCTCTTGCGTTTGTTCAACGAATGTGCCCGGCGGTACGGTGAGAGCCACATTTTGAAAACGGCCCGCCTTCAATACATGAAGCCCTTGCATTGCGTTAAACGAATATGCGCGGCGCTAAAGCGAGAGCCACATTCGAAAACAAACCACCCTTGAAGATCTTGCAATTCGTTTTATCGAATGCGCGCGGCGCTAAGGCGAGAGTCACATTTTGAAAACGCCCTCAATCCGTGAAGCTCTTGCAACTTGTTTAAGCGAATGCGTGCGGCGCCCAGACGAGAGCCACATTTTGAAAACCAGCCGCCCTCAACCCGTTAAACTCATTGCATTTGATTTAACGAATGCGCGAGGCGCTAAGGCGATAGCCACATTTTGAAAACGATCCGCCCTCAACCCGCGAACTCTTGAACACGTTCAGAACGAATGTGCGCGGCGGTACGGCGAGAGCCTCATTTTGAAAACGACCCGCCCTCAATCCGTGAAATTCTTGCAGATGCTTACAACGAATGCGCGCGGCGCTAAGGCGAGAGCCTCATTTTGAAAGCCACGCGCCCTCCCTTTGTGAAACTACTGCCAAGCTTCAGGACCATACCAATCTTCAATCTTCAAGATCATGAAAGGTGAGGAAGATTACTCCGGATCTCATAACAATGGGGGGGGGTCTGCTTCTGGGGGGGATCTCACGGGCTTCGTCCAATACATTTGTGGGGGGGTCTCGATTTTGGACCTTTTGTTGCCTGTCTTGGGGGGGGTCCCAGACCGGCCGTCAAACCCTTTTTAGACCCCTCCCCATTATTATGAGATTTGTATTATACAAGGAATATCATAAAAACAGAAGTATCAGGCGAAATGCCCGGCCCGCCCTTTCGACCGGCCTCGGGGTGCGCCAGGGAGGAGTTACCTAAAAGGAACAGGAAAAGAGGAGGAGGAGGAGGAGGAGGAGGAGGAGGAGTCAAGCATGAGGAGGAGGAGGAGGAGGAGGAGGAGGAGGAGGAGGAGGAGTCAAGAATGAGGAGGACCAGGAGGAGGCACGCACAGTTTTTGTCCACCCTTGTTAGCTCGCCTCGACATCTCGAGGGGTCCAGGTGCACTTCGGAACATCCACCACAGCACGGCGGATCTGGAGCCATTGATGGGGCCTCCACGGAGGCCTCATCGCGGGCTCCCGGAGGCCTCCACGGAGGCCTCCTGTGGACCCCCCGGAGGCCTCCGTGTATGGAGGCGTCCGCCTCTGGCGGGGGCGCGGAGAAGTCGCGAGCCAGGCGCCTTTTGTATGACGATCATTGAGTTCATCTATTTTGCTGTCGCTTTCACTCATTACCCCGTGCGGGGTGGCGGATTCTTCGACTATAAACGATAAACAAAAACAAACAAAAATCTGGCGGGGCCGTCTTCTCCCACCGCCGTCGTGCGCGAGGTTGAGCAGGAGAGCGTTTGTCCATCCCCCGGCGACGACCCTCCGACGGGTTCAGTTTTGACCCCCCCCCCCCCTGCTCGCTCTCGGCGGTGCATAGCACTGGCCCAGCAGCCTCCTCGTCCTCGCTACCGGGCGTGACAAGGGGGGTGTCGGGGGGGCAGGGCGAGACGGGGCCGTCTGGCATTCCCAGGCGGCGCTGGCGGGAATGGTGGCATGACTCATGACCAGGGGGAGGCGGGGGAGGCGGGGGGGGGGCGGGGCCGGTCACGGGCGCCATCTCGAAGAGCAGACACGTGGGCTCCAAGCCAGCCAGAGCCACTTAGGATCCGATCCGGTGCGAATCGAGTCACTGGCTGGGGCCGCGATTCCGATTCGATGCGGCTCGATTCGTTGGAGCTGGCCGGGGCCAGCCAGACCCCAGCGCGGCGGTACGATTCGGGACGACTCGCTTGGGATCCGATCCATGTCCGATCCAATCTGGTTACCGGATGCGATCCAGCTCAAGCTTGCCAGCTTTCCTCGCCCACCCTCCTTCCTCCCCGTTCCCGTCCTCCTGTTTGTATCGCTGCACACGCCAAGGAGTCACGTGGTAGCTCACCGCCTAAAGCGGGCTGCTCTACGCGTGGCTGCGGGCTTGCTTGATCCAATCCGTGTGCACTATCGTCACTGGGGTGCGCGACCCATGTGAAAAAAACAGTTTTCCTAGCGTCTTGAACAGATTCACGACGCAAGGCAATTTTCGGCCTGAGGGGGCATCGCCGCGCCTGGGAACCGTCGAAAGACTGGTCGGGATGAGGAAAGCGATCCCTGGAAAGCGTTCGAGACCTCCAGGAAGCACGTGCACAAAATCACGATGTCGAAGAAGTGCGCCGCCGCGCGCCACTTCGGGGAGCAGCACGACAATTACTCACAGCAGCATGTGGACCAGCACCACGCCAAGCAGGCCGTGCGCTTGCGCTACCATCTCTCCACACCCGCGGGCTGGACGAGGAGTGCGTTGTGCACCGCTCCGGGAGCAGCGCGGTCGCGCTGCTTGCGGCACGACGTTGGGCAGCGAGACGGGGGGCAGCGGCATGGCCTTGGACATCCGAGGGCGGGACGAGAGTTCTGTCGCGCACCCCTCGGGGAGCAGCACGACGTTGAGCGGCACGACAGCAGAATGCATCACGACCTTGGCATCCGCGAGCG